TGGCCAGTCCGCCCCTGGGCAGGGGTAAAGTGCTATTTTTACAAGTGGGGAGCGGACCTCACCTCCTCTAGGAGGGTCCTCACCTCCTCTAGGGGGTCCGGGGGCTAGCTCCCCCGGGAAGATTTTTTGTTACATATTTAAGTTAAAAGCATCAATCTGGTGCACTTTGAGAGCAACATTAAGAGATCTATGGATACATCTCAACACCCATACGAAACAGAACTGTCAACAGATTTTCTATTTCTTTATAGATATTTTACAAATCACTCCCCTTTTAAAACAAACCGTTTGAGACCCACTGAGATAACTAGACTAAAGTTAACTATCTAAACACTGAGAGAGTCCTTTACTTCACCTGAGTTGAGGTTACCTGAGACTCTCCGTCTGACAGGAGAGAGTTCTCCCTCCACCTTGTTGTTGAAAAAGCTCCTTATATCCATTAGCTTGGCTAGCTAGCACCAGATGCTAACCACAACGATCTCCGGTAGATACCCACTGGTGCGCGAGGCGAGCTCTCTCGCTCGCTCGCGCACGCACGCACACAAAATGGCTCGTGCCACACACACACACACACACACACACACACACACACACACACACACACACACACACACACACACACACACACACACACACACACACACACACACACACAGAGCAGGGCTTGAATGAAACACAGAGACCCAGAAGTAAGCTACTTGTACTCACGAGGCCTATTATGTGCAGAATCCCTCTCGCTTTCAGTTGGTTTTGATTGAGTGTCCACACGTGGTCGTTTAAGGACTAAAAAACGATCAATTTTTCACTTTGCTGTTAGCAAATCATTTGGCGCTCTAGCTAACAGGAAGTCAATCAAGTGTCACAAAGTAATTTAGTCTATGGGTAGGTCAAAAATCGAATGGGTGCTGACCATTGGCCTAATCATATCACCTGTGTTGGCTTTATGTTTTTGGTCAAAAATGTGTTTGTTTCACATTTGCATTGATGTTATCATTAATATTTCTAATTTAATTTAATAAAAATAATAATAATAATTTTCGAAAAAAACCAAAAAACACATATTTCCTGGGGGTGCTTAGGGGGTGCTTTGGCAATCCTGGGGGGTGCTTCAGCACCCCCTAGCTCCCCCCTGGCGCCGCCCCTGGTTTTGCGCCGTCCAGTTCAAAATGGAATCGCCGCCAATCGTATGTCCACGCTCGCGCCAGGACCGGGGGACGTGCATGACGTGCATCTTGTGCTGCATTCACTTACACTCGGACATTAGAGACTTTCTCTCATAAATGTCCGATGAGCCACAACTTTTCTTTCAAAACAAAGCTGCCAACTGGGGTGGCAGCTGGGGTGGCAAGTCTTATTTTTAGGGTGTCAGTTGCCACCCCGGTAGGTGAAACTAGGCTACTAGCTACAGTACAGATGGAACTAGATGAGCTGTTAACTCTCGCTCTGAATTTTTTTTTTTTTAATTCTCGCTCTGACTTAGACAGGTTGAAAGAGACACACACATTTTTCCCACCCGCATTCCGCGAAGACCCGCCCTACTGTGCCTCTGATTCGCAGATTGTTTGGGGGGAAAAAACGCTGACTGGATGCTGAATGTGATTGGACCAAAACGTTGACACACACAGGTGGAACACAGTGGAACAGTCAGACATGCAGAGCGCTGTTTGCAGTGGACATAGCGGAGAATTTTGACTCGTTGCGAATGCGTTGTGGCGATGTCTCACATAATAGAGAGAGATAATACATATGAAAAGTATAATTTGTTCAGAGTCCGGAGACAGTGGTGGTTCGGTCCGGATCCGGACCGGAGTCCGTAGTTTGAGGATGCCTGGTAACATAACCGGTAGAAGCCTATGTCAAACCTGTGCTTAAAACCTGTTAAGCCCGAAGGTCCCCGCCGGCGGGTACTTTAGTTTTTTTTTTCACGACACTGTGTCTCAGGGGATCTTAATATTTAAGAACCTATTAATGTGTTATACCAGATTAACGGGAATAATCTCAGCTAACTGACGATACAAACAATTTTAACCTAAACAAAACACAAGTCTCATAAGTAGCATCTAAATGACCCGAGCGAAAAATGCTAACCTATTACTGCACCGATAATCACTCCCCCTTATTACTTATCCTAGGTGCACATCCAACACATCGTTTATGATCGCAAGGAGACACAGAATCTAACGGTGCCCACCTCAACACTGAAAGATACAAACTCGACATTATCAACAAAAACGTACATCAAAACAAGTGGCGCTAGGTAGCCCACAACGCTAACATGGTTTACCTTCGTCTTTGTCTGGTATAAACTGGTCTTCAATGGCATTAAAACGATAAAAACGATGGTGTAGTTAATCCATAGGTTAATCCAATGTGACTGCATCCTCTTTGAAATGTTCTGATAATCCATAAGCAATAAAACAGCTTTTCCGTTGCTTGATATCAGAGCAGCGATATTTCTCCCCTCAGGCAAGCTAGCATGCGCAAAGAGGCTACCTTTTTTGAACATGAGTGTGTGCCTATGGTGTGTGCGGGACGATTTCCCTTGGATTCTATTGGCTCCAACGGTTAGAAAGAGATGTCACATGTCAAAATCGAACAAGGGGGGCCAGAGATAAGGAAAATCCATGCACCCAAATGGTCCCAGAAGAGGTTTTTTTTGCTAAATCTGTCTAAAAAGGTCAAATATCACTTGTTTTGCATCAATCTTGATACAGGGTACTTATTATATGTTGTACTTTGGATTCCTAAAGCTTTTCGTCTACTAACCCATCATCCAAGGTTAGTTTTCACTATAAGTACAAAATATGTTTTGGACGGACACTATAATTTACAGTTTTTTACCATGTTTAATCTGAATTTTCTTTAAAATAAAAAACATCTATATTGATTCTGACTTTTCTACATCCAACTCACAGGTTTATCATTACTTTGAGAAAGAAGATTATTAATTTAACCCTTTTAGAAGGGAAGATATGGTCATTTGTTCTGGGAATGTCATTTTCGAGCCTGAGACCTGAAAAACAGGCTTGGGTGGGGTAGGTAATTTTGGAGGAACCAGCTCGAGTGCGCTAAAATGTGAAAATAAGTTAAATCCATTTCTCACTTATTCTGACAATGTACTTAACCCCAAATAAAAATAACCCCATAAAAAGAGTTGTTAAATGATAGTGAAGTCACGTTGTAATAACAATAACTCATCTCTCTCTCGTTTTATTTTTCAGCTTTGCCAAAAGCCACTGTGTCAAGTGTCCTTCTTCGGACGAGATACGTTTGTGCACAGATGGAAGGCTGACAGGCAGGTAGGCCATAGAGTGGCGAAGTCCCTCCCCTTCCGGTGAACCTCCATGGGACCTTATTTCTGAAAAATTATGTATTGAAGTCAATGGGGAGAGAAAGATTATCTTTCGATCCCGTTTGAATTGTGCCACGAATTACACATATGATGTTTGTCAATTTAAAAGATAATTTTGCAAGTCAAAAAAAAAAAAGTGTCGTAAAACTGTGAAGTAACACATTTGTTTGTGTGAAACCATAGAGTGTGAAACGCTGAATGAACTACATATCCGGTCTAGCAGAACAACACATGTCACTACTGTCTTGTCAAAATAGGGATTAGCTACCCTCACTATCACCACAATGAAACACGTCCAGAAGAATGTCATGCAAAGCTGCCTGCCTGCCTGCGATTCTCTCTGAACTGCCTGGTCTTTTTTAATGTTTAATGTCAACCATTTGTGCAGATAGCGTGAAGTAGAAAAGATCGCAGATGCTAATGTACGTTAGCATTTCTCCCCCGGGCTTAAATTGTGTATTATAGAATGATCACACCGGTGTGACAGTACTCTTCAAAGGGTTCACGAAATATGACTACTCTTACTGTTTAACTTGTTGGGTCACTTCATGTTACTTCATGTTAAGGCTAATACAAATGACAAGGCTGTAATGCTAACTAACGTGCTAGCTACTAGCTAGGTAACTAACTTGATCCAGCCACTCCTGGTCCTTTCATCAGACGGGAAGCGAAAGAACGAGCAAGACCCATTGCTGGTATGATAACAACCTGGTACTAAGCACACAGGCATCTTGTTAAATGTATCTTATCTTAGAATCTATCTATATGGCGCTGATTTTAGCTATCTCTTAGTGGAGGAAAACAGTTATGACATCACTTACGCGACTCTGGGATTTGTAGTCTTTCTAGTTGCGTATTTTTCATAGTCTTATATTTCAACAGTTTTACGACAAACTGTGACTTTTTGACATGGAAATGATTTTTTAAGATTGACAAACATCATATGTGTAATTCATGACACAATTCAAACGGGATCGAAAGATAAGTTTCTCTCTTCATTGACTTCAATGCATAATTTTTCCGAAATAAGGTCCCATGGACCGGAAGTAGATGGGCGTGACTTTGCCACTCTTCGCCATTTTAGTCGGGCCGGCTAAAATGATAGGTCGTGCTTTTTACAGCGCCACTGCTTCCACAGATGAAATTGTTTCATGTATTTATTGTCAAAGCATTTAATGTTGTCATTGCTATCGGGAAGTTAAGAGCATTCCATGGAATATAACAAAAAGTGTTTCTGAAATAAATTACATTCTTTAAGTGATAAATTACATACTTTAAGTGATAGACTGTATACAAAAAAGTAGGCTACAGTATATGAGTGAATCCACCACAGCTAACTGATGTAGTTTCTGACATGTCTGAACATGTAGCCTTGATGACAAACAGGATGATATATCACACAAGACTTCTAATTGTCTGATCTAAGATTACCATAAAAAGGCCATCACAGATACTATTGTCTGTTGTTAGTCTGAGAATAAACAAAGCAGATTAAAAGTGATAAGAGCAGTGATTCTGGTGTTCCTGGAGTTTGAACACAATGCTGTATGTTAATTTTCCCAGTAGGTTTCCTCTTTTCCCCTACTATCACATTTTACAGTAAACGCCAGCTGGACTTCCTGAGGGGCGGGGCTCCCGTACGGACTGCGTAACGTCACCGGCGGGGCTTTCCTCCGTGACGTCAGAGGGCGGCGGTGGCGGAGCGGCAGGAGAGAGGGACCGAGTGCGAGCTGCAGAGATTAAAACAGAGAGCGTTTCTGGAGGAATAGAGACCCACCGTCACCTGCCAGGATCCCCCCGAAAGGAGACAGCTGGGAACGGTTACAGAGGACTGTTAATACCTACAGCTTTATCGATAAACGCAAGACCCGGAGTGTCCGTCGCATCTCTCCCCAGCCTCCTGTCAAAGAGACCCGGTCCACAGCAAGGTGAGTGCCCGGCGGAGAACCCGCCTCTGCCGCAGGAGCTGTCTGTCTGATATGTCATGGGTTTAATGAGCTCTGTTGTTTATTTAGACGACCTATATTAACATAACAACTGCCACCTCAAAAGGAGTGAAGCAATTTGGTCAATTAACCTCTTAAAATGACACTTAGGTTATCTGCATCTGCTAGTTAGGAGTGCAACTCAGATCAGAACCTCCCAAACCATCCTTACAGGGAAGGAACATGTCCATGTAACATGTAGAGAGGATACAAATCAGTGTCCCGTGTCAGTACTGCTGCATGTCTGGAAATAATCATAAACTATAAAAACAAAATGTCTTCAGCTCTTTATCCAAGTCATCCAGAGTTGAAATCCCTTCCCTTTCTAAAACATTCATGCTCCTGCCACTCCCTGGTCAATGTGTGTTTTGGCTGAGGACAAGCTGTATATTTTCCTGTGAGGAATAAAAGAAAAAAAAAGACTAGTTTTAAAAAGATATCTGGACAAGGCAGCAGAACAAAAGGGATGTTATGATACTGTAAGATGTCGAGGCCCAAAACTCTTCACAGGAATATTATATGAACATTTAAAATATGTATTTGTGTTTATTTAAGGACAGATTTGACTATCATGCTACTCAAGGTGGAAAAAGGTGTGGTGACATTTTCCAGCATCGTAATGTTTTGGTAACCAACTTGTAGGTTTTGTGTAAATAACGGGGCTGTTGAAACACCTACTTATTGCTAATTACACTAAAATCTACAGATAAACAACAGTCAGCAGGTTGTACTATATTACTGCCAAAATAATGCCAGCTAAGGAGTGCTTATAGGCTCAATTGTGATTGGTAATAAGGGTAGGATTGAGGTATTTATTGGCTCTACTTAGTTTTTTGGACATTCAATTAGAAGTCCAAAGATGTGGATTTGTTCAGATTAAAAAAGAGACATGTGTTTCTTCGAATCTAGAGGAATCAAAAACAACAGCAAATAATCATTATTAACATTAGCTTTGGATAGAAATATGCTGAACAGATGGAGGGAGAAAGTTTGAATATTTAAAAAGAACTAGCAAATTCGATATCATGACTTGAACGAATGGTTTGGATAGTGTGGATTGTGAAGTGGGGTTTTATGAGGTACTTTTCCATAGTCAGTCTATTACCTACAGTGAAGGCGGTCAGCGCACCTCCAGTTATGAGAAACAGACAGGAGAAAATGGCCATGGGAGCTGAGCAATGTACTGCTGTGGAGAAGAGCAGCAACAACATTTAGTTTGCACCTTAAAGTTGAATATGGTTTTAAGACAGGTATGGGTTCTTTCTTATCTTTTGAAATCTGTTTAAGCGTTCAAAAATAAACGATATGTGTTATTTTAGGTATAAATCCAACATAAGATCGTAGACAAACAAAAGCTCTATAATTTGTTTAAAGTGACCTCAACCAGCATATGGTCTTTGTCCATGTGCTAATCAGTTCCTCTTTTTCTCGTCATGTGTTTGACCATTTCCTCGTCCAGAGTAGCTTTGGGTTCCTATGTCATCAAAGCTTCAGGTTACAGACAATAGCTGGGAATTACACACTCAGTTGTCAGAGCGCTGTGTGTTTGTGTGTATTGTGAAACCTGAATCCACTCAGTCAGTTTACTATTGTTACAGCTGCTCACCTACTTCTCTGTGTAAAGGCATCTTTCTATAAGTGTGTGTGAGGGGATGTTATAAATATGTGTGTGTGTGTGTGTTAAGAGGGGCTCAGAGGTTTGCTCTTTGCAACTGCAGGCCTGACATTAAACATTAAACAACTCAGCAGTATGGCTCCTGAACGCTCCTCTAATTATAGAAGCTCCCAGCCTGATTCCCTCTACCTTCCAGTGCATCGCCGTGTGTGTGTGTGTGGCCTAGCATTACTATACTTGTGGGGACCTACATCTGTTTACACAGTCACGTGTGGGGACTCGCCGCCCTTATGGGGACAAATTGGAGGTCCCATGAGGGGAATCATTAATGTTAGGGTGAAGACTTGGTTAGGTTTAGGGTTAGGGTAAGGGTAAGGTTAAGGGTAAGGGTTAGGGTTAGGCATGTGTTGGTTATGGTTAAGGTTAGGATAAGTCTCCAGGAAATGCATGTAAGTCAATGTAATGTCCCCTGAAGTGATGTGTGTGTGTGTGTGTGTGTGTGTGTGTGTGTGTGTGGTGTGTGTGTGTGTGTGTGTGTGTGTGTGTGTGTGTGTGTGTGTGTGTGTGTGTGTGTGTGTGGTGTGTGTGTGTGTGTGTGTGTGTGTGTGTGTGTGTGTGTGTGTGTGTGTGTGGTGTGTGTGTGTGTGTGTGTGTGTGTGTGTGTGTGTGTGTGTAGGGTGTGTGTGTGTGTGTGGTGTGTGTGTGTGTTGTGTGTGTGTGTGTGTGTGTTGTGTGTGTGTGTGTGTGGTGATGTGGTGTGGTGTGGTGGTGTGTGTTGTGTGTGTGTGTGTTGTGTGTGTGTTGTGGTGTGTGTGTGTGTGTGTGTGTGTGTGTGTGTGTGTGTGCGTGTGTGTGTGCGTGCAAAAAAGAAAGGGAGACGTTATGTTAAGTATTTAAATGTATTGCACTACATTTATTTGATTGGAATAATATAGTATATCATTTTGACAATGGGACATTTTGAAAAATGAGTGCTTTTGGTTTTGGATTTGGTGCTAACATGTTTTTACGGAGCCCCCTATGGGACATGGAGAAGAAAAAAAATTGAAAAAATAAAATGTTTTGCGAGATCTCGCAAAACTCCTTTGGAGATCTCGCAATACTTTTCATTTAGTACTTCCTGGTCAGTTCGGCTGCTACGGCAACACAGAAACCACAACAATGGAGTGGTTCATCGATTTTTACTTTGAGCTTGGCCTTAAATATAAAGATATAACATCAGTGCTTGGCAGTAGGAACGGGTTTCACACATAGACTGTATATATAAAGGGTTTCACATAAGTGAAGACACCTCAAGAGAACACTCAGAGCGAGGGGGCATGCACGTCCCTCTGAGCTGAGTTATTGACAGATTCGAATTTCGCGGATCAATAACTCATGAACATAACATTGTAAAAATACAAACAACATGACTTTACAAACATAACAAGGTAGACAACGAGCTACAGAGTCGTTTTTATCAGAACAGTTCGATACGCGCCGTCATCCGAGCTAAACATCAAGAATTGGTCACAATCTGCAGCTGGAGGAGGGAGAGGAGTGCTTAGGGACCGTCTACAAACTGCAAAGGGGTTTTGCGAGATCTCGCAAAACATTTTTTATTTTTTTTTTTCAAATAATTTTTTTTTCTTCTTTTCCATGTCCCCTAGGGGGCTCCGTATGTTTTGCAGTTAGTTATGCTTATTATAAAACATTAAACGGACAATACATATTTTGACTAATAAATGTTTTCAGTTAAACAGTAATAGGAAAAAAAAAGCTTAATAGTAAGTTCATCTTTAAGGTCAGCCCAGCTTATTAAGCTGACTACTGTATAGAGCAACATTCTGATATTCTTAAATTAAAGTAAAATAAAGCAACAATACTGAGCTCCAGTAAGATTTTTCAAAGACAATATTGTATGTGTACAAAAACTAAACGTCATTAAAAAAACAATCTGCAGCATACAACGGGAGTGGGTAACAAAATGGCATTCCATTTAGGGGAACAGTGCTCGGTGACTCGTTAAGGACTTACGAAGTGTACACCACAGTTTTACATTTCAAATTGGCTGAATATCTTTCTGTAAATCAACTGATTGATAACAAATCCTCATAGAGCAATAGCACGTTTATTAGAACCATAGTAGTTTCCCTAGATTTCTTACAGTAGGAATAAAGTATCAGAGGTGATATGGTTATCGTCCAACTGTGTAGTCAATTTCCAAGAGGGTGTGTAATTTCTATCAACAGCAGATAAATAAATCATATCTCAAGCACATTTATTCTTGTGAAGTTTATTTGGCAGTTGATTGGGAGGAAGATAAGACACACACACACACACACACACACACACACACACACACACACACACACACACACACACACACACACACACACACACACAGGATTCCCAGGAAGAGCTGTGGTTGTCCGTATGTTTTTCCACAGAAGTATGAGCTGCCTCCATTATCAGTAATATCTCTCTCCTCATCAGCTCGCCCACATGCCAACATCGAACCACTTTGCAGACAAAAAAACAGCGCTGTAATGTGCCCTGCTGTTTGAAAAGTGTTTCTGGTGGATGTGTGAAATATTGACAGTAAATTATTAGTACTTCATGTTCTGTGTGTCGGTAAAAAAACAGTTTACTTCAGCTAGTTTACTGGAAATGTTTATTTTCTCCTGAACAAAAACCCATTTATGAAAGTGAAACAGTTTAATTTCTGACTTTCATATTATAAGAAATCATCTTTGCCAGTAAATCTTAACAATCAATCTTTTCTGACACAGATGTATCTGCTACAATGGATTGTGTTTGATGGATATTTGTAATGTTTTTTTATTGTAAGATAAAACTGATACAGACTTGAAACATTTTAAATAGATTTAATTAATTGAGAAAGATGTAGTTACAGTTAAACACATTCCTTAAATAAATACGTTTTAATATTTTGGCTATATTTATATAAAAATGCATTTTTTCCACTAAAGTGGTTTTAAACTTCTTGTATAACTCTTGGCAAGAACCAAAACATCACAAAAACAGTTTAGGTGCCAATGAGCAATATACAGTATTTCATGAAATGGTTAACCTTAAAAAAGGTCTTTAACGCATTTGGTTATGGGGGATTGCTTGTGAAGCGATGGTTTTAGCGTGTTGATTTAAGACATGGACAGCAGAGAATGAGATGCTCAGAGTGAATATGAGGTCATTTTCCAGAGAACGGCTGGGAGCTGCGCCAGCCAAGTTCCTATCTGTTGTAAACATAATAGAGGGTTACTGTAGAATAGATCAGGGGTAGGCAAGTAAGTTTGGCCGTGGGCCAATTTTTTGCTGGACCGCAAGA